GGTGCTCATCTCATTTTCAGGCCAAGGGAGCCGGCGTTTGTCCACAGATAGCTTTCCGGATCATGTGGCTAGCATGACTAAACCACTTCTGGCATAACGGAACACCATGATGGAAACCAGGGTGCATGGAAACGCCATTTACCTTCCTGCTGCAGCAGTAGCTATTTATCTACTTGCACTGGCATGCTTTCAAATTGCTAGGCTGGCAGGAGCTGGGACAGAGCAAGGGGAACTCACCCCATCATGGGGATTCAAACCGCCGACCTTCTGATCGGCAAGCCAAAGAGGCTCAGTGGTTTAGACCACAGCGCCACCCATGTCTCTCACCCCTGTTGTGTACTATTCTAAGCTCTCTAGAGGGAAGAAAAATATATAAATAATATTTAAATTATGAATATGATGAAATGATGCTCAAATTATCTTTTAAAAAGTTCTCACACTGTTGCATTTTCTCACAGCTAACCAAGAAAATATTGGTTTTTTTCCTTCTTGCTTTGACAGTGCCTCTGCTTCATTCGGTTCAGCTTGCTTTTTCTTTGCTTTAACCACAAGCCACGGAAATGTCGAGCCAAAGTTGCCACATTAAATAATGCATAAATCCAAGCAATTATGGAAAAGAATCATAAGCAGCAACTTTGAAATGCACACAGCAACAAACTTAAAAGGAAGAACATTTTTTTAGAGGCTGTACCTCAATTATAATCCACTGCATGCAAGTCATAATAGATTTACTGTTGTTTCACAGTTGCCTCGTCAAAAATTGCCTCAGCTGTGTCCATGGGAAGTTTTACCTGCAGGCAAAGAGAATTGGAACAGCTAATAGCAGAAAGGAAGGCATCTCATTGACACCAAGGGAATAGAAAGATAAGGCCTCAAGGTCCATTTACCTTGTCGTGTTTTCTGTGTGGCACAACAGCCGTGATTCATTTTGTGGTACAAGGCTGACATCATCCATTTCCCTGTGGTTGCTCTTGAGACATTCCTTAATCCTGTGACAATGTTGTGGGTTGCCTTGATGGATGTTTCTGCCCACAGAAATAGTCTCAGATATTATGATTTCTCCAGTGTAGCTGGGAGCAGTTTAGAAGTTCTCTAACATAGCTGAAAATGCTTTGATGAAGTATCGGTACAATTCTTGTTAAGCACTTGTACATTTCCAAGCACAATTCAAAGTGTTGGTGCTGACCTTTATAGCCCTAAATGGCCCTGGCCCAGTATACCTGAAGGAGCGTCTCCACCCTCATCATTCTGCCTGGACACTGAGGTCCAGCGATGAGGGCCTTCTGGCGGTTCCCTCACTGCGAGAAGTGAGATTACAGGGAACCAAGTAGAGGGCCTTCTTGGTAGTAGCACCTGCCCTGTGGAACGCCCTCCCACCAGATATCAAGGAAATAAACAACTATCTGACTTTTAGAAGACATCTGAAGGCAGCCCTGTTTAGGGAAGTTTTTAATGTTTGATGTTTTATCACATTATTATTATTATTATTATTATTATTAATATTCTGTTGGGAGCCACCCAGAGTGGCTGGGGAAACCCAGCCAGATGGGTGGGGTATAAATTAATAATAATAATAATAATAATAATAATAATAATAAGCAAAAACGGACATTCAAAAATCCGGATCTCTTGCTCAGGGCTGGGGAACCAATGGCTCTCCAGATGTTGTTGAACTCCCCAATTCCTATCGGCCCTAGCTAGCCAGACCAGTGGTCAGAGAAGATGGGAGATGCAATCCAAGAACATCAGGAGTGCTATAGGGTCCCCGTTCCTTAGCTGATGTTCATTGACAATGGTTAGCCCTGGTGCATTGCAAGTAAACACAATTCTGAATTCTAAGTTTCCGTGAGAAAATAACCCTCATACTACAATACCAACGGTCCCTCATTCTTCAACACACATGATATCTTGCTCTCACCGGGTGGATAATTTACAGCATATAAATGTATCCATGCGGTATTATTTATTGGCACTGATTGCTAATTTAACCAAACGTGCAGCTGTTCCCCGGAGATGGCCCTATTTACCTTAATTGCATTGTGCCCTAATGAGAAAATTATTTTACAATAACCTCAGGAAGTTGCAAAGTGGCACACGCTGGCTAGTCATAACCCTTTATATTGAGCTTGCGGGGCCTGCTTGCCAGGTGGGCAGAGAAATCCTGCGCTCACATTAATCCAGGGGTAGAGATATGGGGAACGCCAAAGTGTGATCAGCCCTAGAAGGGGATGGGGGGGGGACACCCCACCAGCAGCAGAAGATATTAGCAAAGTGCTATAAAAACAACACGAACAACTTTAGAATCTCTGGAAACACAGTCAGGGACTGTAATGGCACCTGCTTGCTGCCCTCACACAGAGGGAAGCCTCTCTATTAAAAATGCCCAAAGTGGAGAACAACATTTTAAAAATGAATGCAATGAAAGAGAAACTGCAGAACCAGACAAAAAGAGCCAGATCTCCTCTCCCCATATTTGGTGTTAACTGATGACATCCCCCAAAGAATACTGGGAAGTGTAGTTTGTAAAAAGTAGCTCCATTAGGGTAAACTACATTTCCCAGGATTATTGGGAGGGGTAATGTGGTTTAAGGGACGTGGGTGGCGCTGTGGGTTAAACCACAGAGCCTAGGACTTGCCGATCAGAAGGTCGGCGGTTCGAATCCCCGCCACGGGGTGAGCTCCCGTTGCTCGGTCCCTGCTCCTGCCAACCTAGCAGTTCGAAAGCACGTCAAAGTGCAAGTAGATAAATAGGTACCGCTCCGGCGAGAAGGTAAACGGCGTTTCCGTGCGCTGCTCTGGTTCGCCAGAAGCGGCTTAGTCATGCCGGCCACATGACCCGGAAGCTGGACACTGGCTCCCTTGGGCAATAAAGCGAGATGAGCGCTGCAACCCCAGAGTCGGCCATGACTGGACCTAATGGTCAGGGGTCCCTTTACTTTTTTAATGTGGTTTAAATGTGTGGCATGTATACAGCCTAAGCATAACTAAAATGAATACATATTCACACTGCTACATCTGGTTCCCTCACCTTCCTGTGTTGTCTCCATGCTAAGTTTTAGACCAGGCAAAGGCAAACTTGGCCCTCCAGATGTTTTGGGACTACAGTTCCCATCATCCTGACCACTGGTCCTGTTAGCTAGGGATGATGGGAGTTGTAGTCCCAAAACATCTGGAGGGCTGAGTTTGCCTATGCCTGTTTTAGACTGTAAATTCCACAGGGTGGGGACCTGTCCTTTTGTACTTTGGCGTCACGCCTGTTGATGGTGCCAGCTTTTGTATGCTTACCTGTCGCTGGTGAGACTATTTCATAATTGTGGCACTGCCGCCATCAAATCCTTACTGTGCATTTTGAATGGGTGGCACTCAGAACAGCACCTCCTTGGCTGATCTCCGAGTCCACCTAGATGACTATTTACAAACCAAAGCAGGAGCAGCTTTAGTTAACTTGCTGTCAAGAGTTCATAAAGGAGCCTGGCTTGAATACATTAAAATATATATTTTGCAGTTCCCACAAGTCCTCCCTTATTTACAGGAATGGTTGCATTTTATCAGATAGGCAGTGGAGCACCAGGTATGTAGATATATTGCCATATGCCTTTGTATCTAATTTGTTTCGGAGTAGCTATGGTAATAATGAGAGATATGAATCTAACTCGGAATGAATTACTTTGAAAACGCTGAATAACAGTACAGCTTCTCTGAGGCACTTGCTCTAGACAGACTGTTTTTAAGTTGAACGCTCAAGGAAACGCTTGCTGAGCCTAGTTGTGTTTACTCTGAAGTAAGTCCAGTGTTCAAGTAAGTGTGGACAGGAGCACAGCAATTTGAAATCCCCTTACTCAACTCTCTTTGAACTCAGTGGAACTAATTTCTGTGTAAACTTGTATAGGGCTGGGTGGGTTCGGTCTGTTTCTCATGCTGCTAAAGGCTAGTGATGAAATTTACGGCTAGGGAAATTTGATTTAAAAGGAAACCTACCTAATTCAAAAGCCTGATTTTGATTCATTGGAAAGATAACACTATGGCCCCCTTTGATCAATGGATAGAACATATGATAACCCTTGCAACATATGAACGGATTGCTTTTAGATGCAGATCGTGTATGGATAAATAGAACAATATTTGGTATGCATTTATAAAAAATATAATGCCTTGTTAATCATTTTATACTTGTCAAAATGCTAATATTGCTAATATACCCATATTTCATATTGTAGTACAGTTTTAGACACTTTTTTGTATTTGTTTTTAATTTTGCATTTCCTTTACCGTACTTTATTTCTATATTTAAAAATTTCAAATATATATATATATATATATATATATATATATATATATGAATATTTTAAAAACCCCATCCAATTCACACTGTCCAAAACACAATGCAAACTGAAACATGTGCATCCTTTGGCGTCTGAAGCTCTCCAAATTTTGGATTGCAGTTCTGCAATCAAGTAAGGTGTACAAAAATGCACGTACAAAAATTTAAAGTGTGCATATAATGTATCTATAAATAAAAATAACATCCTATGCAAAAATGCAGTACAGTGGTACCTCTGGTTATGAACTTAATTCGTTCCGGAGGTCCGTTCTTAAGCTGAAACCGTTCTTATCCTGAGGTGCGCTTTTGCTAATGGGATCTCCCGCTGTGTGTGCGCCTATGGCGCACGATTTCCGTTCGCATCCTGGGGCAAAGTTCGCAACCAGGAGCAGCTACTTCCGGGTTAGCGGAGCTCATAACCTGAAGTGCTCATATCCAGAGATGCCGCTGTATATTAAGGGAAACCAGCACTAAAATGCTGATAAATTTCCATGAGGACTTGAAAAAGAGAAAGAAAACTTATGTTTGAATGTGGAGAACTAAAAGATCGAAAGGAGGAGAAATTGTGAGAAACTGAGATTGACAGATTAATCCATCCCTGTTTGAGATTAGCCCAGCTCAAAAGGTAGTGATTCGTAATCAATTCTGGATTTGAGCTGCAAACTTCATAAAGTTTACTACTGTGTAGATAGGCCCATAAGGCCCCCACTTCCTGCATGTCTTCCTCCCCACCCCTTACAAATGGACCTTGAGCTGCTTTGGAGGCCCTGGCAGGAAAGCATAGCTATCATAAACTGTAGTTTTTTTTCTACCTGGGATGCTCAAGCTCTTCAGAACAGAGTGAAGTGGGAAAGACCTGCCATGCCAACCAGTTCAGCTGAATCGAATCTAGAAATCCATGTGATAACAGGTACCGTAGCCAAACAGTTCTTGGATCCAGTATATCTTCTCCCATTGAGCTAAGAGTAGCTTTTAGGGGGTGATTTATATTGGGGTAATAGCACAGGGGGGAAGATTCATCCTGCACTGCAGTCCTGAGCCAATCCTCCCCAGCCCCTACTGCTTTTATCTTTTGGAATCCAGCCTGCCTTGAGGGACTTCTTCCCTTGTTCTGTCTCAGCCTGGCTTCCAACCTGGGTATGCATATAAATTTTTACAAACCGGATTTTCATCTAAAATATTGCAAGGCAGCACACAGCTTTTTAAAAACCCAGTTAAAAACATATTTTAAAAACCAAGAACGTCAGATACATCCATAAAAGCCAATGGGCAAGGAATCTCAGGTTTGAAAGGCCTGTCTGAATAATAGTTCCCAGAAGATGTCAGAAAGAGGCCGGGAGCGGCTCCTGTTGAACCTCTATTGGCAAGGAGTTCCACAGGACAGGGCCTGCTACGCTGGTGAAGGCCAGATGAACCTTGGGGGCATGTGGGATCGCCACAAGTGCCCCATCACTGAGAATGCTTCAGGGCAGGGTTGGGGAGCCTATAAGCTTCAAAATGCTCTTGGATTACTGCTGCCATCGTCCTTGACCATTGGTCATGCTGGCTGGGGCTGATGGGAGTTGGAGTCCAACAACATCTGGAGGGCCACAGATTCCACGCACCTGCTTTAGTGATCAGGTTGGGTGATCTTTATAAGTCAGCAGGACCACCCCCCTCCTCGTTGATGCTTTTAGTCCTCTCGTTGGCTACATCATGTGCCCTGCCCAGTGATATCTTTGATAATTTTAGCAGCTGCCAAAATTGGTGGGAGAGTTGAATTTTAAAACAAAACACAAAACACCACCGTACCTAAATGCAGGCATATGAGCCACCCAGAATCTTTTGATTTTTGGTTTCAAATGGATTTTTTTGCTGGAAACGTGTTATGAATGACATGGTGAAGATGTTTGTTGCATTGACTTCCAGGTATTTAAGCATTTTAAAAGATGTAATTTGTACTTGCAGCTTCGTAATGGCACGCAATGGAACTCCTTACTCTTGAACTAAAATTACATATTTGTCGCAATTTCGTGTTACAATGCCTGTGGGGGATCCCAGAGATATGAATTACCATGCTTTTGATGTGGAAATGCTAAAGTGTATCTTTTGATAGGCAGTACATAGTAGTTTTGTTAATCAGTCATCTTGCAACAAGGTTAGGGATAATGAGGGAATATGGGGAACAGCACGCTCAATATCCAAATGCTCTTAACACCGAATTATGAAGGGGGTGGGGTGGGAGAAAAAAATCCCTTTGCCTTAAAATCAGAATCAATTATGCGCTCGCATTAAGCTATGGAGACAATTCTTAATCATATTGTACCAGACTTTGCAGAAGCTCTTTGAATGGAGAGAGAGTGCCTGGGCATTGTTTGCATTCTGATTCTTCGCGCTGAAAAAGTTTTAAGCTATGACATTTAACCACTTATTGTCGGGGAACCAGCCCACCAGGTGCGGAGGAAAATGATGAAGAGTCATGGGTGAAGGTTTAAGCAAGGAGTGAGCTCTCTCTCCCAGCAGCCTTGCATGTTTATTAGCCTTGCGCACATTACATCATGTTGCATATACACGTGTAGCACTCGGGTGGAAAACAGCTAGGGTATGCATTTCTTAGAATAACTATTCTCTACCAGGACATAACTCCAGACAGCATGACAGCCGCGTAAGCTTTGCGGTTAGGCAGCGCGACAGTGACCCAGGCGAGTGGGGGGAACAAGTCAGCAGAGTCAGCAGATGTTTCCTCTTGCACAATCTTGCACAAGGGTGCTGTTTTTTCTATTGCATCCCCACATGCCCTCCTTTTTTATATTATTTAATCAGAGTCATAAATTTCATTCCGAGGCAGAAGCTCGCCAGGGTCGCACACAGCGCGCTGGTAACCAGGTAGGCCGTCCATCCAGGTCCACTGCCGCGTAGCCGCGTCCCCAGGAGATGAGTGGCACAGGACCATGCCATGTTGGATCAGGTAGCTGTCTGTAAGATACAAGAGGCCGAGCCAAAGGCTCTGCTTTTCGAAAATGAATCTCAGCCGGTGTATATTCCCTATTATGGGGATACAAAAGATGGTTAAGAGTGAATAAAACAGTATGCACGATTGAAGGAATCTCGGCGGAGGGGGCATTTCGACCTCCAAGTTGTTTGGACAGCAGTGTCTTGAAGGTCAAGTGCGCCCTCTCCACAATCGCCTGTCCTGTTGAATTGAAAGGCAAACCATGGATTAATTTCACATTCCATAAATCACAAAAGGATGAAAACTGAGAGGAGATATATAGGCTGGGCCATTATCCGTTTTAATGCTTTGTGGCTTACCCATCACAGCAAAACAGCGCAGGGTGTGCTGAATGACGTGACGAGCGGTCTCACCCTTCAATGGGGTGGCCCAGATAAATCCAGATGAGGTGTCCACTGTCAAGTGAACTTTTGAAAATGGGGCGAGCAGAGGGGTGTGAGTAACATCCATCTGCCAAACCGCAAGAGGGGACGTACCCCTAGGGTTCACCGCATCAAAGGGAATCATGGTTCGAGCTTTAGAACAGGTAGAACATTGAGAGACAATGTCTCGTGCCTGTGCAATAGGGATTTTAAACATTTTTGCCAAAACTTTAGCAGGCTGGTGAAAGGTAGAATGAGAGAGAATAGGGTCAGAAAACAAGGAAAACACTTCAGATCGCAGTGCAGCGTCTGCCACGGCATTTCCCTGAGCCAAAAATCCTGGGTGATTGGTGTGGGAACGAAGGTGTGCAACATAAAAAGGATGACGGCGTTCTTGAATAAGATACTGCAAGGTAGAAAAAAGAACAAACAAATTAGCATCTAACGCAGGCGTGATATAAGAAACAGGCAGGGAAGACAGAAGGCGATACACATATTGTGTATCAACAAGCAAATTAAAAGGTTTATCAGGAAAGAGTTGAATGGCAAGGATTACCGCAGCACGGCCAGCCCGCTGGGCGCACCTCTGTTGCTCAGTAAATTATTTTTTCCATTTGCCACCCTCCTCCCATGCTACCACCCCCCGCATTTTTGACCCATTAGTGAAAAGGGTAAGGGCAGAGGGGATGGGGGTCGGAGAGAGAGCAGTTTTTAAAGTATAGACAGTTTGAGAAAGAAAAGACAGGCGTGGATCAGAGGGGGGATTATGCGTGATGGTTCCCAAAAAAATCCACAAGTGCTACTTGAGTAGCCACGGAGGTGGAAATCAGGTGTTGTGTTTCTGTGAGTGAAAAAGGCAAGTAAATTTTTTCAACGTCCAGTCCAGAGAGGGCTTTTGCTCGAGCGCGCCCTTTAATTACCAAATCCATTACAGCCGCTGGAGAGGAATAAATGTTACGCGGTGGAGTATGCGGAAGGTGGATCCATTCCACAATGTTGACACCCGAGGGGCAGCCGATTTCTGTGAGTAGAGAATGGCTGTAGGCAGCAAAGGTGTGGAAAAATTGCCAAGGATAACTGCACATTGTGCAGAGTGTCTATGCGATCCACCATTCGGTCTCTTAATAAAGCATTAACCTGTTGTAAGGCTTGTAGCATTTCTTCTGTAACTGGGATGACTTCTCCAGGTAGTTTGTGTCCTTGTAAGGCAGAAAACAATGGTGACAAGGTGCTAGTAGGCAGATTAAGGTAATTCTTTATCCAATTCAGGTGTCCCAAAAGTTGTTGAAGGTCAACCAGCCGTAGGCGGGCAGGAAAAGACAATTGGGGAACAACCAGAATGGCAGCTTGTTGTGTCAATTTATGTCCAAGATATAACATAGGCAAAGTTTGCTGAACCTTATCTGGGGCAATACACAGTCCAAAATCTGTGAGGGCAGATGTAAGGTCTTTTAATAATTCCATTGATATGTGCTTCGCAGCCACAAGGATATCAATTGGGTGGAGGCTTTGACAGGCTGGCGCTTCTCCCCGACACCCAAAACCTGCGCAGCTGCCTTTGTGGGCCATTCGGGAGGCCAGTCTTGTTTAGCAATCACAGTAACATCTGCCCCTGTATCCAGAACCCCCTCTACCTCACGTCCACCCAGTGTCATTTTTAATGTAGGGCGCTGAGCTGTGAGAGGCATTGCAGCAGCAATTAAGGGGGTATCTGTAGGAGTTGTGGCATCTGCAGGGAGCAGTATGACTTTAGCCACTGGCGTGCCAGATGAAAGACCTAAGAGGGGGGCTGCTTGTTTAATTGCAGTCCCCAGTGGTGTCAGCGGAGGCGGTTGAGGAGTAACTGATGGAGTGGACTGTGCCGGTGAAGGCTGATAATCTGGTGGTCGTGGCGGAATAAAAGTCGGTGGTTGAAGCGGTGCAGCCGGATATATGAAAGGCATATTCAGGACTGTTTCTTGTTGTGGTTGCAACGAAGCCAAGAGGATGTTTTTGGGCGTAAGAGTCGCCATGCAGCCACAGACTTTAGCCCAGGCACTAAGGACGTGAACATTTATGCAGCCATGGCCATGAAAGTGGTCGCCAATTCTGTTCCAGGCTGGAATTTCCCATGTCCCGTCCTCAGGGAACCATGGACAATGTTCATCTATGGCCAGAATCAATGCAATTAGATCACCTTCAGGTACTTGCTGTTTATTTTCCCGAAGGAGGTGCTGCATGTCTTTTAAAAATTGTTTCTGAGGGTTGGAGAGCGCAGAACCCATGATAAAAATAGAAAAATAGCTACTCACCGGGGATCCGAAGATGAGAAGGCACCTTGAGCCACAGCCGGGCGGGTGAGTAGCAGGAAGGACCGTCTTTGACAGCACGCGTCCTGGAAGCCGTTCAGGCAATCACACGGGGCACCATTTGTCGGGGAACCAGCCCACCAGGTGCGGAGGAAAATGATGAAGAGTCATGGGTGAAGGTTTAAGCAAGGAGTGAGCTCTCTCTCCCAGCAGCCTTGCATGTTTATTAGCCTTGCGCACATTACATCATGTTGCATATACACGTGTAGCACTCGGGTGGAAAACAGCTAGGGTAT